TGATGCTCAGGCATAGGGTATATTTGGGCATGGGGGTGGCTGCTCGGGTGGGGGGGATATACTTGTGGGTGTGTGGGATGCTCAGTCGTGGTGGAGAGATGCTTGAGCACAGGAGGTGTTTGGGCGTGGGGGAGGTGTTTGGGCACAATAGGGGAAGGTGCTTGAGCATAGAGGGTGCTTGTGCGTGGCAGAGGATTCTCGTGCTGGGTGGCAGGAGTTGGTCATGCTCAGGAGTGGGTGCGCGGCCCCGTGGGAGTGGGGGTGATGGGGGCGGAGGGGAGACGCTTTCGGTGCCTGGCAGGTGCCCCCAAGGTTGGGGAACATGCATACCTGGGGGATTGCCATGGAGGGGTGTGCAGGCACCCACTGCCCTCTGCCCCCCTCCCCTGGATGCTCACAGCTGAGGCTGGGCACAAGGCCCTGATGCGGGCGCTGCAGCGATGCAACACCCAGCCCACACCGCGCTCGGCTCCTCACAGGGGCTTCAGCTACGTGGACCTGGTGGAGGGGCTGCGGGACGGGCGCTTCTATGCCCTGAAGCGCATCCTGTGCCACGACAAGGAGGACCGCCAGGCCGCCCTCCACGAGGTGGAGATGCACGGCCTCTTCGACCACCCCAACATCCTGCACCTGGTGGCCCACTGCATGGTGGAGAAGGGCACCAAGCATGAAGCCTGGCTCCTCCTGCCCTACGTGAAGGTGTGCGGGGACTCCCTTGGCCACCCCTAGCCCCTTGCCGCTGGGAGCAGCAGTGGCGACCAGCTGCTGGTGTTTGCCAGGGAGGAACGCTGTGGAGCGAGGTGGAAGCACTGCGAAAGAAAGGGACCTTCATGCCAGAGCAGCGGATCCTCCTCATCCTCCATGGCATCTGCTGTGGGCTGCAAGCCATCCACAGCAAGGGCTACGCACACAGGTGGGGAGTTGGCAGCCCCAGTTGGGGGTTGGTGGGGGGTGGCAGGGAGCCCAGCGGGTGTTCGGTGATGTCCATCCCCGCAGGGACCTCAAGCCCACCAACGTGCTGCTGGATGAGGATGACCGGCCCGTGCTGATGGACCTGGGCTCCATGAACCGAGCTCGCATTGAAGTCAGCAACTCTCGGGAGGCCATGGCCGTGCAGGTGGGTGTCCTGGCACATCACCCCACCACCCCATCTGTGCCCTGAGCCCTTCATCCCCACCCTCCCCCTCCTCTCCGCAGGACTGGGCTGCCCAGCGCTGCACCATCTCCTACCGTGCCCCCGAGCTCTTCACGGTGCCGAGCCAGTGCATCATAGACGAGCGCACAGATATCTGGGTAAGGACCTGGCCCCCGGCCCCCATCCCCCGCCGCGGGGCTGCCCTGACCCCGCCGCGCTCCAGTCCCTAGGCTGCGTGCTGTACTGCATGATGTTTGGGGAGGGTCCCTACGACACCATCTTCCAGAAGGGCGACAGCGTGGCTCTGGCAGTGCAGAACCCCATCACCGTTCCCCCCACGACCAGGTGAGGGACTGGGGAGGGTGACCCGGCTCAGACACAGCCCCCAGCACCATGCACCCCGCAGAATCCCCTCACCACCTTCCCTCCATCCAGGTACTCGGCCGCCTTGCAGTGCCTGCTCTCCTCCATGATGACACTGAACCCCCAGGAGCGACCCAGCATAGATGAGGTCCTCCACCAGCTGGAGGGGCTGCAGCCAGCGCCGGCGGGCCAGGACACCACACAGATCTGAGCCCATCCCAGCCCGCAGCGGTGACGCACCCCGAGGCTGAGCCGGGGGAAGCACAGGTGCCCTCGTCCCTGCTCCCCCACGGAGCCGTTCAGAGGGGGTTGCTGCACAGGGGAGAGCTGCTGCTCTGTGCTGGCCGTGTGGTGGATTTGGAGTGGTCTGTGCCGTGCGTGCTGCTGCCTGGGACTTGGTCTGTGCCCCAGGACTGTGGACGCGTGACCTGCTGCTGAACACGGGGCCCTCGCCGGCCGCTGCCTCCCCCGGGGGTTGCAGAGGAAGGTGCTGGGGACCCCCTCCCCCGGGGG